TTGTTTTTATAGAATGATTCCAATGGGATTATAGAGTGTGGTTATAAAATAAAATTTTTGTATCAAAAAGATCATGACTGGTGCTTGGTGAAAAAACACCGAGAAAACAATGTTACTCTGGTCTAAGAAGGTGGGAAATTTCCAATGTATAAGGGAAAAGAATGGAAGGGGAGAGTGAAAGGGAGAGAAAAAAGTTCTGCCTGTATTCCACATAAAAACCTTGCAGGAAACATCCATCCTTCAATGGCAAGACCCTAGGGATAGGATAACTGTGCCACTTTAGTGGTATTTGTAACAGAACATGTCTCTGCCTCTGTCATTCAGGTGTTACTTATTAAGAGGCATTTCTGAAGGAATGCTGCTGGCCAGCCTTCTTATTTGATCACTGCTTTGACTACTTATTCTCAGGATAGCACTGAAATGCTATCCAATGAAATGTTCTTTACAGGAACACCAAGAACAGATTTACTTTGCCATGTTTGAAAAGGCTGACATGTCCATAGAGCAGTACTGCTCATTTGCAAAACTGAGACTGATTTCTAAAGGTCTGTACACATACCAAAGCTCCCAAAGGAACAGCAAAGGAGACAGCAAATATCCTGGCCCTAGTCAAGAGGCTGACATCACTATACTGCAAAACATTCTGCCACTGAAATACAGGAAAGCACTGAAGGGATACTAAAACACTACCAATGAGACAACCAGTTTTATTGCATCTTATCCATTTGTGCTAAAGGACTGCAGCTGGAGCTTTTGCTTTCCAGATCTGGTAATACACACACACACACACACCAAAAAAAAAAAAAAAAAAAAAAAGCCACAGGGAAATCCTTCAATTTGTCCAGAATATGATTATCTATTAAGTATTTCATGTTCTTTTGTCCTATCAAAACTCCTTTCACCCCACTTACACCATTGATAACAGATACAGAGACCAGACAGTAAGGGTTTTTAAAGTCACACCTTACATTTTTCCGGATCACTGTTTATATGAGGGGTATTTCAACTCTGATATATACAAACTAAAGGAAAAACAAAGTTTTGGGAGATCTTTGTAAATTGTGGGATGGGCAATTAACAATCACATGAAATTTAACAAGAGCAAGTGCCAGATTCTACCCCTTGGACAACCCTAGCTATCCACGCAGACTGAATAACAAGGGGTTGAAGGGCAGCTCTGCAGAAAGGGATCTGGGTTTCTGGCTGATAGCAAGTTTTATCTGAGCCAGCAGTGTGCCCCCTGGCAGCCCAAAGGGCCAACCATACCCTCAGTGCTGCCACTGGGTGAGAGGAGGGGTTGTCCCACTCTGCTCAGTGCTGTGTGGCCTCACTGGTGGTTATGTCAGGTGGGGATTGGGGAAAAGCTCTGCCTCAGAAGATGGTGGACAGGGAACAGTCTGCTCAGGGTAGTGGGCATGGCACCGAGCAGCTGGAGTTTAAGAAGCATTCTGACAGTGCACTCAGACATATGGTTTGGATTTGGGATGGTGCTGCGTGGAGCCAGGGGTTGGACTCAATGATCCTTATGTGCCCCTTCCACCTCAGAACAGTTTATAGTTATATCATTTGATCCTTTTGGAAAAAGCAAGTACCTCAAGAAGGATCTGAGCAGGAGGCAGCAAAGCTCATGCTAAACACAGGTTAGGAGCAAAAGCCATGAGCTTTTGATTCCCCGACATCAATATCAGAGCTGTGCACTGCTGGAGCCACCCAGCAGTATAAATTTGGTCTGACTCAGACGTAGGCGCATGATTGCAGTTCTGGTGTTAGTCACTGTGCACTGTATTCTCTTACGCTGGCTCTGTGCTGGGGAGAAGGCCAGGGCAAGATGCACCGAGCTGACTCAACAAAAATTTCTGAACAAAGACCCAAAGCATTTTGGATCACACTTCAGGAGTCCTCAGCCCAGCTGCAAGCTATTGGCATCTCGATAACCCCATTAACTTGATCTGTTCCTGAGTTTTAGGAGGCAGGTTCCTAGCACCTGCAGAATAGAGAGCAGTGCCAAAACAGAGAGGAGAGGTCACCAGCACCGCAGCATCTAACAGCTAGCATCCAACAGCAAGCATCTAACAGCTGCCAGGCACAAAGGTCTGCAGAATGTGGTTATAAGTAAAATAAGCATCTCCATTTGTAACACATAATCATAGCATTGATATCATGATTCCCATCCTCCTTCCATCCCACTCCATCACTTATCCACATTGCTGGAAAAATGACTGCCAGGCTGTAAATGAAAAGCTCTAAGTTGCAGCTCCCAGTAGCTCTTTCAATGCAGTGATCCAACACTACCATGCCATATCTGCCAGCTGCACTGTGTTTGGGGAATCTCAGGTTGGTGATCTCAGGGTTAAGCCTCTGTGTCATTGCTGTCTCAGGTGCACCACTGTAACCACACTGGATGAAGCCCTGAACTTTCAAAGTTGGGGACACCAGGACACAAAGTATGTGGTCAATGTGCCAAAGCCTTTCAGGGTTCTGTTCATCATTAAGCTACCTCATTTTGCTGCAGTATGGTGTACTCCTTGCTTATGTCAACAGCACTTTTAAGAGAAAGTTGCTAACATACACTGGTGGAGAGCACTGGAGCAGCCATTCTTTCTCATCCCCCTCCTCCACAGCACTACTGAGCTAGCTGTGATTTGGTGTCTATCTCCTGACACAGAGAATATACATTTGAACAGAGATGAATTCAACAAATATATGTATATATATATATATATACACACACACACACACACACACACACATACATATACATGTATACATACACTTTTTTTTTTTTAAATGATATTCAGTCAGGTATAAATTCTGGAAGAAGTTAGCCCGAAAGCTTCAGAAACTGAAATAAAATGAAACCATAATTCAGTCAATTCAGTATTATGTAGTGCAGTGAAAAAACACTGTTTCCAAAGCCTGAATCTGCTGCCTTTTTATGATTTCTGTCTGTACTGGAGCCTTTAAATCCTCAAATAGACAATCTTGCCTGAATAGTAAAGTATATTAAGCCAAGTAAAGTTTGGTTTGGTTAGATAAGAGCAACACTCATTGAAATCAGACCTAGAGCAAAAGGAGGCCCTACAGACCATCTGCCCTGGCACTGACAACAACTTTTAATTCAAGGATTGATAAAATCTTCAATACAAAGAGTTATTTGGAAGATTAACTCCATACTCAGTGGACCTGGATCCCTTAAAAGCATGAAACAACTCAGAAAACAGAACAGACATCTTTTTCCAAAGTATTTAGGTACCTGGAGGTGCCAGTATAGCTCTTATCTACCTCATAACACAGCTAAATACATTTGTAACTGTAATCTCCAGTCACTCTCAAAGTTTTAGAGGTGCACAGATGTCTAGGAGGTTTACAAAGTGCCTAGCTATTTAGTTCTCATTAAAGCCAGTGATAGTTAGGGCTTCATGTAAAACCACATCTATCTGCCTAATTAAAAAATTAGCATCTAAAACATCATGCACCTTGTTCAAACCAGTGAGGCTGGAGCTCCTGCGAGTTCTCCAAGCTATGCTTTAGTTTTCAGTGACAGTCCCCAGACAACCTGCAGGAGCACTGGTGAGGTGGTCAGAGAGCTTGGCAACAGGAGAGATTTGAGCCTGAATCAGCCTCCAGGCGCAGATTGTCCCTAGAAAATGGAAGCATTAAAATAGGGTGACATTAAAAATGATATTAAAATAAGTTAGGCCAGACCTTCACAACAACACATCAGTCATATCTCCACTGTTTATAGCAAGCTATGGGCTGACTTAGACCATTTTAGAACACATTTTTCTTTAAACAGCAGCTTAAGATGAGTTGCCACTTCTAATTTAATCACTCTTCTTTAATGTATCTTGGTGCTTTGCATCTAGATAATTAACTTTGATATTCATTTGGTGACTTCGAGGCACAAACTCCTTTTGCTGTCAACTGTCTGACAAGACAGAGCATGCACTGATAGAAGACCTTCATGTGACCCTGGCAATATTGCATTTTGGAAATTTCAGTAGCTAATATAATCAGCCTGCTGGAGAAAAGCTTTCATAAGTTACTCCAACGATTTGAGAATGGAAATTGTGACTGCAAATTTGTCACTGGAGTGATTTCCTAGAACGAAACAGATGTACATTGAAGTTTACCTAATTTCTGTTCTCATCGTACTGCTCCTTTCTAAAACAATCCTCTAGAAAACTGGCAAACCTTTTATTGTGGTCTTGCACCGCAGTTGCCTTGATCCCAGGCAGGACACACAGAAGTTACCATACATTTTAAAAGTAATGTAAGTCTAATAGCCTAATAGCCAATAAATAAATGATCATTACAAAATATTTTTATATTTTCTATATGAAATATATATAAAATATTTTTTAGGTATGAGGTGGCATAATAAATACAGCAATACAAAGATGGGACAGAAGGGGAGGGCCAAATTCTTTGCATTTATAATGAAAGGTTAGATTCTACTGGTAACAAGATTAAATTGGTGAGCAGCAAAAAGTTTGAATCAGATTCTTATTATCCCACAGTGGGTCACCTTCCGCTAGCACATGCTCTAACCCTGGAATCAGTCAAACATTCACCTCAAGAAATGAACACACAGGACTTCTAAAACAGTCAGGATAGTCAAGAGAAAAAAGAATTGGCTCAGACACAGCTACTTTCCTTTTTAAATACTTTTCTTCCATGTCACTGAGTATGGGAGCTAATGGCATAACTTAAACATTCTTGAAGCAAAAGCCAAGAGCAGCCCAAGCCCCTTTGAGGTAAGAAACTGGAGTGTAGTGAATGAGGAATGGCTGAATCTCAACTGAATCCTTTTTCATAGGCTAGCTAAAGCGTTCCATGGCTCTGCTTAGTGTGAGATTAACAGAACATAGCAAAAAAGTAGAAATAAAGATGTACTGATGTGTTGCACTTTTCCTTAAGTTTGAGAATGAGATCAAGATTTGAGTGTTTGAAATATTTTAACAGTGGAAAAAATACTGACTACTCCATTTTCTACACAGGGTCAACATTACGAAGAAGAAAAGCGGGCTTTGAGCCATGAAATAATTGCACTTAATAATCACTTAATTGAGGCCAAGGTGACAATAGATAAGTTGTCAGAAGACAATGTAAGTATTTAATTATGAATATATATTGAGACTATGCTCACTAATAAATTACGCTACACACTTCCTATGCAATTATAGGAATTTCTTATTGCTTAGATTAAATGTAACTGCCACCTCTGTAGTTAAAATCCTTATCTGATGCTCCTGCCATTTTGTAATTGTGACTGTTCTCTGGTTACAGAAACTTCACTGATTATTTTTCCCTTGTCTATCCTAAAACTGATGAGAAATTTATTCCAAGAATAAATTAGTTTACCATAGATTCCAATATAGCAGACTGGTAGAAGCATCTTCAGACATGAAGTGTGGACGTGTCTTCATCACAGATTCTTCACAAAGCCTGTAGGCACAGGATAGAATCCTCCATTTCCCACAGATTCTGTGATCTTTTAGTCTTTGCTCATTGACATGGAATGCCCAGAATAAGAGAGCTCTACAATTCATAGGTAGGACTGATGCAGCCTGGTTACTCAGATAGTCAGGTTTTCCCCAGCTATGGTTCACACTTTCCCTTTCTCTGTGTGAAATTAAATACTTTGTGATTATCATCTTGCATCTCAGTAAACATTACAGGAATCATGCATGTGCTCTGCAATTGGCAACAAAACTCATTAAAATCCTTCCATGACCAAACCTAACAAAGTCAGTAAAGAAACATTTAGTTCATTATTTTGTCATTCTTAGACACTCAGTAAAAAAAAAAAAAAAAAAAAAAAACAGAAAAATCACCTACAGAAGATGTTTTTGTTATTGCTCATTCTTCAACATACTACATACTCTCTTCCCATATTTCGTATGAAACTCCTAATCATAGCAGAAGGCATCTGATCCCATTAATTGTTGATGTGAATTATGATAAATCCATTAACCACTTTCCAGGTGGAAACAGAGTTCACAATCTGATCTCCTTTTACAGAAACTGTGTTGAAACAGCCTTTGCTTCATAACTCTAATATATATAGCTAAGTGAACCTGATAAATGCAATGGGCTAACTTTAGGTTCAAGAAGCACGAATTTAAGTCTGGGCTAATTCCAGCTGAAATCAGTAGAGTTATTTCAAATTTGGAAATGGAAAGAAAAAAAAAATGGAAAGATGGAAAGAATGGAAAGAAAAATGGAAAGAAACAGGGAAGCTTTCCCAATATCTATTAATGCATTTACTATTACTTCATGAAGTCAGACTTATGTCTACATTTGAAGAATTTTCAATATTGATAGTTTTTAAAAGGTAGCTCAGACTGATCCAGAATAGAGTGTACTCTTCCTCAGAATTATTGTGAAACACAGTGATTATTATTTTACAGCCCAGGAACATAAAAAAAACAGTACTACTTCTTCACAATTCATCTCAATTCACAGCAAAAAATTCTGCCCTTCGATATGCAGCATCATTAGTGAAAGTAAAATTCCAGTGTTCAAAATAAAGAACTACAAAACAGTCATTTAAAATCATGCAAGAATAGACTGTGACAAAGTGAATACTCCATTCTGAGGAGAACATGCATTTTTCTTGCCAATATTTCTTCCTCCTCCAGCTTCCTCCAACCGTACTTCCCCCTGTCCCTTTGATGGACATGTAAAATTACACTTTTTGATGAAAAAATATATTTTGGATCATGAAAAAGCTTTTGGAATTTAGTGTTGATTACTGTTCTAGATGCCATAGATGTGGCTCATCACCACCTAGGTAAATAGGCATAAAGTCACTCCAGCCACACAGCATGTCACTGCATACTGAGAACACAATACGGAGAACTAGTTGGATGTGGCACATCCAACTAGTAAGAAATTTTTTGTAGTAATTTTTGAAGTAGCTAAAAGTAGAATCAGAAATGCTTTTCGTACTCCATGGCAACCACTTCACAGAAACAGAGCCTCACTGCTTTCAAAGAAAGGATTCAATTCTGGAATGACTTCATTATCGTGTGGAGGACTTGTCTATGCTATACATTGTACAGCAAAACTGTATGTGCTTAATGTGCCTGTAACACATCAGAACCAAGCACACATGCAACAGATTTTGCTTCCAAATTAAATTCTTGGATTCCTAGTATTTGCATCTGTTTTCAGGAATAAAGATAGCGTGTACCAACATGAAATGTAAGACTTACATAAATGAAATCTATCTCCTTTGTAAATTTAAGGCAGAAAACATCATGTACAAAGCTCACACAGACACAGATGCACAGACACCTATATAAAAGTATCTAAGGACCCTTAAAGAAAAAGGTATAAATCAACTAATGATCACAGATAAAGTACTTTTACTGGCCACACGCCTCATGGACTCCCAGCAACACCTTGTTGAACACCTTATTACAGAATACCTTTAAACAGAGGGAATTTCCACTTTTCCTTTTAACAGAAACCTATCAGTTTTTACAGAAACAAGTGGAACGGTAAAACTCTGCGTGTGTCGATATAAGATTAGCAGCAGAAGAAACTCAAATAATTTCAATATTCAACATTTTTTCCTTACAAATCTGTTCTTGTTTTCACAGATTAATAATAGTGGCCGAAGTGGTCAATGTTTTTTCGTTTGTCTAATTGCCACACATGAAGTCGATTTGGAAGTCAGCTTACTTTTTAATGGCACCTTGAGCCAAAGCAACATTTAATTCTTACCTACAAGGACCCAAAGATAATGGTTGAAGGATACAGTTACAATCATATGTCTTAAACTAAATTAACATGAAAAATGAGCTGAGGGCACATCTCTTACAGAATCACAGAATCACCCGGGTTGGAAGGGACCTCAAGGATCATGTAGTTCCAACCCCCCCTACCTAGCAGGGCCACCAAACATACACATTCAGATCAGGTTGCCCAGGACCCCGTCCAACCTGGCCTTAAACACATCCAAGGACGGGGCATCCACAACCTCCCTGGGCAGCCCATTCCAGGGCCTAACCACTCTCCTTGTAAAGAACTTCCCCCTAACATCCAACCTAAATCTTCCCTCCCTCAACTTGGATCCATTTCCCCTAGTCCTGCTGTTGTCAGCCCTTTTGAAGAGTTTACTCCCCTCGTGGGTGTAGGTTCCCTTCAGGTATTGATAGGCTGCAATGAGGTCACCACGTAGCCTTCTCTTCTCCAGGCTGAACAAGCCCAACTCCCTCAACCTGTCCTCATAGGGGAGGTGCTCCAGCCCCCTGATCATCTTAGTCGCCCTCCTCTGGACCCTTTCCAAAATCTCTATGTCTTTCTCGTACTGAGGGCTCCACACCTGGACACAGTACTCCAGATGGGGCCTCACAAGAGCCGAGTAGAGAGGGACAATCACCTCCCTCTCCCTGCTGACCACCCCTCTCCTGATGGAGCCCAGGATCCCATTTGCCTTTCGAGCTGCCAGAGCGCACTGCTGGCTCATGTTCAGTCTCTCGTCCATCAGGACCCCCAGGTCCTTCTCTGCTGAGCTGCTCTCAAGGACCACTCCTCCCAGCCTGTACGGGTGCCTGGGGTTCTTCCGGCCCAAATGCAAAACCTTGCACTTTGCCGTGTTGAACCTCATTAGGTTCACCCAAGCCCAGCCCTCCCATTTTCCCATTAAACACGCTGTGGGAACCATTCAATACAAATTAGTTCAAGCATCATGTTTAAATTTGCTTTTTCTCTTTCTGAAATTCTCACGATAGTTTCTGATCCGATAAAAAAAAATGATGTTCTGTAGCACAGTATGTTTGTAGTGAAATTTAAGTCATATTCTAGAAGATAAGTGGAGAGCCAAGAACCAGCAAGAAAATTTCATGAGGAGACAAAGGATATTTAAAACAAAAAAAACCAAAAAGCAATATGTATGAATATGAATTTCTCCCACAGTCTCTTAAGACTTTTTCAGCAGTTTTTCTAAAGTAGTATCTCAGTGCTGATCTGCATAACACTCAGTAAAAGTCATCTGCTCTTCAATTTTCTTTCTGCTTAAAATATTATGTTTATTTTCACCCTCATAGTTCCATGCATGTTAAAAGTACAAAGCCAAGATCCTAATAGTAAGTATTCATCTTCTGAAATGCTGATAGCTGCTGCATAGCTACAGTGTTTAATTTTTGGTAATTTATCAACCCTCACAGAGCAAAGGAACAAACTTCTCAACATCACACAAGAAACAGAGCAAAGGAACAAACTTCTCAACATCACACAAGAAATACAGAGTCTTAATGTGTTTAGAAGTTGAAGTATGCTCCAAACTTCCCCAGAGTCCTACTCTGAAACATTTATCAGGCATGGGTGAAAGCCACAAGTTTGCAAACTTGAAAAAAAAAAAAAAAAAAAAAAAAAAAAAGGGCATTTTTTTTTTTTTTTTTTTCCTATTTTGTGTGTGTGTGTGTGTTTCTCCAGGAGCTCTATAGGAAGGACTGCAATTTAGCTGCTCAATTGCTCCAGTGCAGCAAGAATTACGAGAGGGCACATAAACTTTCTGAGGTAATGTGACTAAACCTGATGAATATTTGAAGAAATAAATATTGTATGGAAAACTGGCTGTTTTATCACTTCCAGAATTTGTTTGCCCCTTAGGCTTTGATTTATTTCTTTTTTTTTTTTTTTTTTTTTTTTTTTCACCCTTTAAGCAGCCCTGGGGGTTTTGTGCACCTGCTGCTATTCTGTGTAGCTGGGGAGGTGCTGACAAAATCAGTCAGTAATGGAACTTGAAGATATTCTCTGCTATCCAATACAATGCTTCTCTGCTGAACGTGTTAAATAGTAAAGGCCTTCACAAAACCAAAGTGGTGAGAAATCTAGGCTGCAAAATATTGGGGTTTGTGGAAGGAGTGGGGACATAGTAGGATACAATCAATTTTCTTCGTCAAGTTATTTTCCAGTCCAGTTAATTCTAAACCTGAATCTTAAAACAGACTGGCAAACATCTTTTCTAAAGCAACCATAGCACTGCTAATTGAATTCCAAGGTATAAACTTTAATTAATATTCTTGACTTCCAAGGAAACTGACATGAGAAAGAGACTCCTTAAAGGGGAGGCAAATGTGTCAATCAACAAGGCAGTCTTTGGAGATGCAGGATCCTCCTCAAAGCAATAACACCTTCCTCATGTATATTGGTTTGTTGAAGGTCACAGAGGAAAAACCTTCCCTTGATCACTCTCATCAGGTAACTCATCCCCAAGAATGGCCCCTTTTGTGCAATTCTGTGACAGAATAATGCAAAACCAAATGTCAGCCATTTCTAAGCCACTAGACTGAATAACTAGACAAATCTGACAAGGACTGATCAACATTCTTTCATCACATGGACAAAGATGTCCTCTATCTGAAGCAAAACTTCCAAATTTACCAATATTCCGATCCCATTCTTTTTCCTAATGGCTGACTTCATTTAACATTTCATATCTAGGAGTCATCATTACATTACTCATACCAAAAGCCTCCTACCTGTTAGTAAGAATTAGGATCACAAAGGTATTTAGCAGCTCTGTCACAGAGAGCCATCACAAACTGGAATCTCCCCACAGTTTCACAGACTATTATACACTTAATGAAATGGGCAGTCTTCACTCTCAACTCAGAGTATTTATCAATATACTGAGTGTAAACATTGTCACAGTCAATAAATTCCTCACAAGCACAAATATTGCCACAAAACGTGTTGCATGTTACCAGGAACCCTGAACTACTGAACAAAATATTAATGACAGCAATATAGTTTTTGTATTTCTAGATTCCACTACATTAAGAAAAATATTATTTATTTTAATAATTTTCCAAGTATAAATAATGTATACACAATAGACCCAATAGTTGTGTTAAAGGAAACTAAATATTAGCTGCCATATACAGCAATTTCACATTAAATGAACTATATTTCTTCTCCTCGCTTTCATGGCTATTTACAGCAGCCTTATTTATTTACTGTTTATTCAATTTTTTTGCATCTGTACTTACTATGACTAATATTTCTGTTTGCCAGCAGATTGGCAATCTTATACTCTTTATTTCCAGTGGAAGATGTATGAGCTAATTATCAACATAATGATTAATCCAATATATCATAGAAAAAAACACTCATCCTACTCCGCAGTAACAAGAATGTCATTTCACAATATATCATATTCCGAATACACTGAATTTGGGGCATTAAAATATCTTCAAGCATTTAGTTAAAATAGAAACCCCATACCTTATATACCATGTAAGATCACTAGAAGCGGTAGACAACTTGAATTCTTCTTGCCTAAAGAGAGGCGCAGAGGGCAACCATCTCAATATTTTTAGGGCTGTCTCCTCTAAAGAAACAAAGTTAAGGAGTGTGTTTGAAAGTTGTGGCTAAAAGTGTAACCACTGGTTATTTGGTAAAGAGAAACTTGATTTCTACATAAAAGAAAAAGTTAGATCTGAGGAGATTCCAATCAACAATTCAGGGGCTATTTTCTTAAGTGGCATAAACCAATATAGATATCGAAGTAGCTAACCCAAAAAGTTACTAACCCAGATACAAACTTAGCTCAAACATGAGCTCCATGGACATTCAGCAAGAAGAACTGTGTCAGCTGTTGTGCAGCCCTCTTTATGAAGGATCAGCGGTGCAGATTTTAAATGAGCAAGGCCAAATATATATATGTTATGCCTGTATTACATATATATATATGCCTGTATTACATTTAAATATTTATAATTTAAATATTACATTATTATTGTACACAGCCTGTACAATGCTTGGCTGTGTAGGATTTACCTGCTGGGTTTTTTGAGATACACCCTACAAAGTGTTCTGTCCCAGAACATTTCTCCAGAAATGGTCAGTCTTTGATGCACAGGAGATTTGTTGAATAATTTTGAGTCATTCGCCAAAGGAGTCATAATGCATCTTTGGGTCATAGCTCTTATTTTAGCTGGTGTAGTAAGAAACCCAAAAAGAAGCCAACAGCAGCTCTGGCAGAGGAGGTTTATAAGGTTTGTCGATCTGACAAGTAGTGGTCCGATTGCTGGGACAAGGTAGCTGTTCATTCGCTTCTTTTCCCAGCACAGAAACACTCTTGTCATAGCAAGAAGTACCATTGCTTTCAGTGAAACCAACTTTCCCATCTCTTCAAATAACGTCACTTATAAAATGTGATACGAAGTGCAGGAGCCAATTTGGCAGTGGGCTGGAGGCAAGAGGAGTGCGAAGAAGGCCATAAGAACACAATATATATAATCTCTTCTTCTTTCCTCATCTCAGCAGAGACCTCCACACCCCATATTCAAATCACACACATTGACAGACTGTCTGGAAAGTGTTGCTGTAGGCTCTAATTCCCTACGTGCCTTTTTAAGGTGGTTGTTTACTATGTTGTTTAGATTGTTTTGATCCAGCTAGAATTAATTTGGAAGGAATCATCTCAGTTTCATAAGAGAAGCAGATAAACACTTCTAAATGCTAAGTAAATAAATGAAATTCATCTGATTACATTTGTTTTCAGAAATGCACAGAGACTGTGGCCTTCACATTAGTCAAAGAACCATATCTGGTGAGCTACATAATATCATAAACTGCACTCATATGTCAATGCTGCATAAACCCAAACAGATACCAGTACTGATATGCATCCTTTTCTCCTATCCCCTCTGCTATCTCTTTATGTTACAGTTGCCATCTGACTTTCAGGAAAGAGTCAGCATCCATCTGGAAAAACATGGGTGCAGCCTTTCTGTCCCCTTGTGCCGCACATCTTACGCTGATACCATACCCACCTGTGTCATCGCCAAAGTACTGGAGAAACCAGATCCAAACAGCTTGTCTTCACACTTGTCAAGCCCCTCTACAAGGGATCTCAATTTTCAGGACTCTGCTGGAAAACTCGGGCAGAGGCCTCAGTACAAGTCAGACATCTACTGCAGCGACACCGCTCTGTACTGCCCCGAGGAGAGGAGAAGGGAGAGGAGACCGAGTGTGGACACACAAGTGAAAGACGTGGGGTTCCTGCGGTCCCAGAACTCTACAGACAGTACTGTTGAAGAAGATGGCTTCCATTCCAGCTTCTCTCACGAAGCCTTCCCAGAGTACATTACCTCTTTGCCAACCTCCAGCTCCTATTCTAGCTTCAGCGTCACATCTGAAGAGAAGGAGAACGCCCAAGCCAACACTATGACAGCCTCCCAGCAAGCAATCTACATGAGCAACCGAGATGAACTGTTCGAAAGAAAGTCACCTGCAGGTTACGAGCATCAGGGAAGCCCAAGGTTTGCCAAGTCAAAACCTGCACAGCACATGGAGCTTGCTGATGACAATGAGAACTCCCCCACGTTTACTCGGACTCTGCCTCCTTATGCAAACGAACCTTTTCATTTCTCAGCCATAACACCACAGCAGGCTTTAGCAAATCAAAAAATGAGGAATGAGTGCAGAAGCACCAACCTTTCAGAAGAAGACTTACCTGGGCGATGGAGGCAGTTGAGTGTGGAGGACATTGGTGCATACTCTTACAGGAACACTGGCAGGCTATCACCCTGCAGCTTTTCAGAGCAGTATTACAGCAGCCCTATGAAAACAGGAGACAGTCGAACAAGTCCCATCTATGCTAGTTACAAAGCAGATAGCTGCTCAGAGGGAGATGATATCTGCCAAAGCAGACTTGTGGATTCTTGCTTCCTGAGAACAGACAGTGGCCTGAACATTGACATCAGCACTAGCTGTAAACAGGACAAGCTGCCCACTTACAAAACAAAAGAATTAAGAGACCAAAAAAATGAAAGGATCACTGTCCAGTTATGCAGTAGCAAAAACATCGAAAATAGCCCTGTGTTGAAAAGAGAATATGTGGACGTGAGCCCCAACAGCTCTGCAGAGTCCCTCAATCACAGTTCGATAGAGGCTTCAGAAATCCACCAGTCTTCCATGGAGCAAGGAAGCCATTCAAGTATTCACAGCAAACAGCAGCAGTTTCAGCGGACTGGGAGTACTGGTTTGAGCCGGAAGGACAGCCTTACAAAAGCACAACTATATGGAACCCTTCTGAATTAGGCATCTTCCAGAACTGCAATAAGACCACAAGCAAAGGAAAGCAAACCACGTTTGATACTTCTTGTGAGCGTAAGGTTTAAGAAATGGATTATAAAATATATATTCATAATGGTACTATATGTTTGAAATGAAATCTCTCCAAAAATGTTATACAGCACTTTTCACTTAACATCCTTTCCACATGGGAGACCGTTCCCTCCCCTCTTTTATAAACCTGAAATATTTTTATAAACAAAATGGTATTTATTAGACTATCCTAAGATATTTGAGCAGAATTCTTTTCCCTTCAAGCAAGTTTCTTATTTATTTTTGTGCATGAGGCCATCTGTGCCTAAACTCCTGGAGGAAAAGGGTAAAATCATGATGACGGAAGTGAAAAAAAAAAAAAAAAAAAAAAAAAAAAAAATCAATCCACCTTAAAAAATACCAAAAACTTCATTTGAAAAAAAAAAAAAAAAGCAAAACTGAAAAGAATGGTGAATTTGAAAAAGTATATTTTTTAAAAAGAATGGAATTGTATCTTGAATTATTTCATACAAATGTATTTATGAGTGACTAATGTATGCACAAAGTGATACCAATATTTTGTTCTTTTAATCCACTGTGTTTCTGCTTTCCTATTTTTCCTTGTATACTACCTCAAAAGTAATTGAGGGTTTCTTTGTCACGTTTTCTGTAGGCTTGCATTTATATTGTCTAAAATGCATGCAGTGTCATAATTAATACTGTATTTTGCATTACTTAATAAAAGACACCAGTGGAGATATTTTGTTGGGTTCTTTATCCTTTGTTAAAACATACCCTGGACAACAGTGTGTTCTGGATATTAACAGTCCAGTAAACGTTGATGAAAAAAGCTCCTACTTACGTTGCTCTCCAAAGGATCTGTCTAAACCACAGAGCAATGGTTCTCAGCCTTTGGCTCCTGGAATTGTAAGGACTGCTTCTCATCAGCCTTGGAAGGTAAACAAAGAAAACAAACCAGTTGTCAATAGCTTTAAATTCACTGGGAAAGGCTCTCCATATAAGAACTTCATAAAAAAACTTGAAAACTGTGTAAAAGTTGTGACAAAAGTTGTGACTAAACCTCCTTCTCTATTATGTATGTAGTTGGCACAACTCTTCAGGTCTTTAGAACTGTTATTTTCCACAACTGTCCTTTTTCATGCATATTTCAAACACAGACATTTTTCTAAGATTTAAGTAAAGTCTGACCTTCTGCAGCCCACAGCAATTTCAACCTCAACACTGAGAAGCCATACTTCTACCTGTAGTTTTTGTGTTCCCTCCACAGTTTCCTGTTCCTCATCATTCCATCACTAGGGAGCGTACAACTTGAGCAGTCACAGAAGGGAGAGAAAAAAAAGAGGAAAGAAAAACAGAAAGATGGAAGGAAAAATCCTGTGGACTTCTTTTATGGCTTCAGTGCAGCTGCCTGGTAAGAGGCAGAATACAGCAGTAAATGCTAAATCATTCCTATAAGTCATATTCATTAAACATGTATCCTGTACTTGAAATATTGACTCTGACAGGTACTGGTGTGGAGAAGGATCTTACATAGTGCAATATGTGGTAGTAAATCAGTAAAATCACTGTGGAAATCTGAAAATCTAGTACCTATAAAGCTAAAATGATGTTATCATTCATTATATATTAGGAAAAAAAAAAACCTCTGTTCTCTGCCAATTCTCTGAATATAGCCACTTGTCAAGTTACTATGAACCAGGACACTAAAACTGCTCACTTTTACATAAATGTCTTAACTCACGAAGACGGAGTTTCAATTCATTTGGCATCAATATTTCCCACTGTTTCACATACAGTTACTCACGTTCTTCATGAGTAACATAAAAACGTGACCACTATTTATACAGGCAAGTACGTTCTGTGCTATTTGGAAGATCAGGCACTAAGTTCTCACAGTTCCTCAGAGACCTGTACCACTGCTGAGGAGAACAATGGTAGTTAATAATATCACACAGGTAAGCCACAACACAAGGTTGAAGTCAGGCTTATTTCTGTAAGAAAGCTATTATGCACCTTGCTCTTTTATGCTCTCACACAGCTTTTGGGGCAGGTTGCACCACACATAAAGCCACTGAAATCAATAGGGAAAAATATATAGAGCACCATATTATTTCCCAAATACCAACTATTTCTACAGTAGAATCTGACCTGCACTAAATAGAAAATGAAGATCCAGAGAATCTGCTACCTCCCCTTCAAAACACTCAATGTTGACTCACTCAGGTTCCTAAAGTTTAGGCAGTCTAAGGCAAGATATTCATTTCTTTGGTCAATGAATATAAGGATCTGTAAGCAAGGGTGAAAATTAACTTTTATCTCACCTTAAAAATATATAAGCTATGGAAAAATAACTCCTGATATTTATGAACAGAATCACACTATCAGACTGATCCTTTCTACAATATAATTAATCATCTGATATTAAACTGCTATTTTGTTAAATGTACAAAACTTTTTCTAGGTATTACAGATCTGATTATTTAATATGCTGTTATCTTTTCTTCTGTTGCAGTTTCAAAGCCTGTTTCTACGCTTCACTTCATTCTCTTTCTCAGATTATGTGGATTAATATGCAAATTCAAAGCAGACTTTTCAGCCAATTAGTACAGAGTTTTTCTTATAAAATAGCCTAAAACCCTTTAACATTTTTACAGTACAGAACAATCTGCAACCCTGGAATGAATTTCAATCGAAGGGATCAAAATAGCTAGTTACCCAACTTTAAGGCACTGATTATTTTAAAAACTCCTTTAAATCAGAACAACTGACAGTCAGTTTGCATATTTTTAATGAACACAAGAAAAAAAAATAAAAAATGAAATAATTTTTCTCAGATTTACTGGTTTGAAAATGGTTAATTTTGTGTTGTTGGGTTTTTTTTCCTCTACCCAAGAAATTTTCAAAGATTATATTAAAGGATTCTGTCTTTATTTTGGTACATTCTGCTTTGATTTCTTGAGACAACTACAGAGACCAGAGGTGGGAGGCTAGGAAGGTACAAAGCATTCCACAAGCAATTTCAATTTCCTGTATGGAATGCTTTAATTCTATGCCTACTTTCAGTTTTTACATTGAGAGCGAGTCATTCAAAAATCCTGTCATGGAGCCGATTACAGGAATATATAGTCAGAGATATTTAAGACTGGCTACTTGGATTTCTGTATGTGTTCTCTCCAAACGAAGTTCTTCCCTCACATGGTTCCCTGTGGCTTTAGAATGGCTCTTCTAGCACCAGGCAAAATCTCAAGCATGGATTTAAAAATCACTGAAGATTTAGGAGCCTAACTCTGGTTAAGAACAGAAGAGATAGGAGAGCAAATCAATAATGTCTTGTTCAGAAGGACTTGTCCATTCCACTTGGAAGAAAGTACATGATTAAAGCAGTGTTTTCAAAGAACTTACATTCTATAGGACTTTTATGATGAAAAGCAACATCCAAAACATTGTTCTCAGAACACCTTACTTCCATTTCTCATTTAAGCAAGTCTAGTCTGATGAACTCAATACTGCTCTGACTGTAACTCCAGAAAAACAAAACAACTGATCTTCATTTAAAGAAAAGAAAAATCCCCGATTCCTGTGGATGATAATTTACCTCAAAATAGCTTGTCCAAAGGATATGAAAGTCTGATTTTCTCTCAAGCATTATAAAACTGCTAAAGTATCTCCATGTTACATCAAAACCTCACTTTTAACAGTGATGACAAAGCATTCAAATTCTATATGCGGGGCTTGTAGTTATCCAGAACAGGATTTTTGCTTTGTTCGATTATTACATTTGCCATGAGTAAAAGCAGAGAAGGTGAGGAAAATAAGTGGCAACTACTCAAAAGTGCAGTGAAGCAGAAGATATGAAACATCATTTTAATGAAAGCAATGCAATACCAAAGAGTACACGACACAGGACACTGCTCACAGAAACACAACTGAGGTTGAAAGATCAGAGTGAGGAATAGCAAATCACATCACAAAAACAGATAAGAATTCAAAAGAGGGAAATAGGGTACAGTTCACTAGGAAACAATGTTATATAAGTGCTATGAAATTAAAAGGCGCAAATGCATTTTTTAAGATGTGAGAATATTTTTCTCACTCCAAATTAAGGTTAAAATGAATCAAATTCTCAATAAATGTGAATCACAAATATCTCTTCCTTTTAAACTTTTTAGAACCCTATAAATAGCTGCATTTTTAATGTTTAAATCATGGCAAACCCCAAAATACGTAGTTTTCAATTCAACAGTTTCTAAATTCTACTCCCAAACTAGAAAATGCATCATGTTAATCTTTGCCCTTTCCAGCACTTTTAATTAAAAAGAATTTCCACTAAAAATCTGTCACGGGACATGATTATACAGCTGCTAAAATTGATTTCTTCTTCTTTAATTTTAACGTACTAATTTACATCCTTTGGACTTTCTTATAGAATTATTCTTCCCCACTCACATTTACAACCTTGTAATTCTTACAGACCGTTATGATATCTCTCCTTAAATACTGCTTAAATTGTGTAGGTGTAGTCCAGTCATTTTTCTTTGGAAGACATTCAGATCTCTACTTCATTTAAATTCTTTTCAAGAAGCATCCTTTTCAGTTTTCTACAACTGGAGTGTTTTAATATGAACACTGAGCTGGGTCAAACATTGGATTCAAACCCAGTGAACAAAGAAAGAAAGAAGAGAAATATGCAGATCAGAGTGACTGGATCTTTTTTCCCAGAGCTGATATTCTCAATAACAACAGGTAGTTGGACAGAAATTTTCTCACTAAAATAAAATTTATTTTTCACGTGGCCAAAATGCAAGTTTGCATTTTGATGAAGAGTGAGTCTGGCCATGTTTCTAGAGTAGAACCTTGTTTCCTGAAAATGAGTGCATTGAAAAGAAAGTATTTCTCCTATACTTCCCTTTTGTGACTAAGGTAGTTTTTCAGCACTTGCACAGAAGCATGCTGGATGATCCTAAAGAGCATTG